GAGTCCAAACATTGTCAAATTAAACAAGCCACTAAATTTAGAGCTCTTGCAAAAAACAGATGGGAATTCCTCCGAAACAGCGGAAAAGCTGATTGTAATATTTGCTGATATTTTTTGCGGTCACTTCTATTTTAGGCACTGGTTAACTAGGCTAGAATAAGATGGTATTGGTAGTGTAGTTCAACTGTGAACCCTGATGACATGAGAACTACAGTACAAACAAATAAAAAATACCTCGATCAATTTATAATATATCTTCCACATATCTGTGGCAGAAATGGGGTGACTGCTGGCACCGTTTCCTATCATTTTTTGCCTTGTGGTATTCTGCTTGTGGTGTGATCTGTCTTTTTTGTGGTGTGGCATGATTGTGTTATTGGGTTTGTTTCTGTTGAAGGGGAAGTGATGTGTTGTTAGTGAGGACATATTTTACCTCAGAATACAGTCGGTCCCATATGCAACTGACAATGCCAACTGTCTTGCGGAGGGGGGGGAGGGAGTTTGAGGTGAGGAATGGAGTGAAGTCCAATCAGCTTCCATATGCAAATGACCTTGAAATGCTGGCCCAATCAGAGAAGAGTGGCCTGAAGCTGCCCAGCCGTAGAAGCCCCGTCCCTGCACTCTTTCTGCAGATGGTCCTCTCCTGTCAGAGGCCCAGAGCAGACTGACCTGAACACTCTGGCAGCCAGGCAACCCAGCCAGCGTCTTCTGACTGACAGTTCAAGCCTCCAAACACAGTTGGTGTGAATTGGAACGTTGGGCCCCACTACTGCTTTATATATAAGGGAGAGATTGGTTTTTAGGTGATTTTAATATTGGTTTTAACTTAATGAATGTTGTATTCTATCTTGTTGTAAGCCACCTTGAGCCCTTCTTTTAGGGAAGCGTGACCTAGTAAATCCAATTCAATGAATAAAATATGAATAAATTGGTCTTTTTCATTCATTGTAACATGATTGCCAGGTGTTTAACATTCTCTGACCAGCTTTTACTAAAAAAAAAATATTCATTTAGGCAATTGCAAAGTCCCCTAACCCTGTAAAAAACTTATCACTTAACCTCTGGAATTTTCCCGGAGCATTTTGGAGTCCAAAAGGGAAAACTATGAACTCAAACAGTCCTTCTTTGGAGACAAAAGCCATCTTAGCCTCGTCTACTGAATCCATGGCAACCTGCCACTATCGGTTTGTGAGGTCTAGAGTGCTGACATACTGGGTGGCACCTATGGCCTCCAGTAGTTCATCAACCTTAGGCATGGGGTACACATCAGACACTGTCACTTGGTCTAATTTATGATAGTCTATGCAGAACCTCAACATACCATCAGGCTTTGGCACCAATACTACCACCACTAGTGACCAGGGGCTTTCAAAACTCAGTCCAGTATGGTATGTTAGAAAATATCTCTTTGGACTCAGAATAATTTGGATTTGCCAAACCTGTTCCTTGGTAAAGGAGGATGACAACAAGTTGCTTTCCCCTACATAGGATCCCTTACTTAATTTCCCCCATCCATTGACCTCCAGGCATTTCTCTCCTTCATTTTCAAGGAGTACCATTTACCCTTGCTCATGGTAAGGCTTCAGCTCATTAACATGGTACATTTTGTGCTGTTCCCCATCAGAACCAACATTAAGCATCTACTTGCAATTTCTTGCTTTCCAACTGCTAGGTTGGCAGGAGCTGGAACTAGAGATGGGAGCTCACTCCTTCATGCGGCACCCGGGTCTCGAACTGCTAAACTACTGACCTTCCACAGCCTGCAGTTCAGCGTCTATATTCCTCTCTAATTATCCTAGACTTGTGTAATTGTGAGTGTGCTTGTGTTATTGTATGCTTGTGATAAAATCTTCAGTAAATGGAATCATTTTATATCAGAGCCAGTCTTAGCGTCTATTTCTGATGCATCTGGAAGAGGTGGAAACCCTGTATACATGTGTGCTTGCTCCCTAGCCTGCCTGTTGCCTTCAGCGAGATCATAAGTCCCCACATTAAGTAACAATCTAAGGCAATTTGGCTAACACCAGATGAGACAGACTGACTCAATCAAGGAAGCCATGGCCCTCAGTTTGCAAGACCTGATCAAGGCTGTTAACAACAGACCATTTTGGACATGATTCATTCATTGGGTCTCCATAAATCAGACTTAACATGATGGCACTGAACACACACACACACACACACCCTTCCTTATTCAAAGGTAATAGCAGTGTCTCAGTTAACTGAACACCAACAGGATCTGTCCATGATTTAGAAATGACACAACAACACATCCATCTCTGAGCCTGATGTCATGAATTTCCTTTTGCTATGTTTTCCACAGAATCCAATCCAACCAAACGGTGATCGTATCAACTTAATTTGTTATTCCATGAGGTCATAAACAACATCAAAAAGACATGGTATTCCAACTTTCCCCAAAATGAGATCTCTTACTGTGCAACACTTATCACACTGGTCCACCGATCAGGTCTGAAACTTCTGGCTGCAATCCAATCCATTTGGAGAAGTATTTTTCCCTTCTTCACTCTTTTTGGCACATTCAGTTATCCCTGAGAGCTCCAGCACTTTGTTCCAGCTGCTGGCTCCCATCTCATTACTTGGCTCCAGCAACTAACTCAAAAACCCTTTTGTAGGAACTAGTAGAGGGATGCGTGGGTGACTCTGCAATGGCCGTGCCATCCGAAAGAGGTGCCTTTGAAGACAGTGCTCTTCCACCCCACTCTCAACCGTGCTGCTTTGTCCTTCCTCCCACAATGAGCCTTAGTGGACTTCCCTCACCAGGACAGGCGTCTATGTCTTCCTTCCTCTCTCTCTTGGCAATTCTCTTTAGACCCTCTTTAGGTCAGTAGGATTGGCTTAGGTTGGGATTTAGTAGAAGCGAGGATTTGTAGAATACTTCTTTAGTGTGTTTATCTGTTTCCAATTCTATATTCAATTTGCCAATTCCCTTTGCTATTGCTCTTCTTCTCAATAAATTCTTAACTCTTAACCAATGCTGGTTTAATTCTAGGAATCTGCACTTTACCGTGTGTTGGATAAAATCTTGTACTCTGGTATATAACTGGCAGAATGCTCCCGCTAATAATTGCCCCTATAGTCATGGTATATATACACGTAGGCCATTTAGGTAACAATCTCTGCTGGTTGATTGCAGGGATCCAGCTATGAGAATTCATGGTTTCTAGGGTGAATCATACATCTGTGGTATTTAATCTAGTACTTAATCGCACGTACCAACCCATTATATGTCACTGAGACCAGATTAGTGGGATAAATCTCTCTCTGCCATACCCACTTTAATGTGATGGTTTGATGCCCTAAGAACTTAAGAACATAAGAGAAGCCAATGTTGGATCAGGCCAATGGCCCATCCAGTCCAACACTCTGTCACACAATGGCCAAAAATACCAGGTGCAATCAGGAAGTCCATCAGTGAGACTAGGACACTAGAAGCCCTCCCACTGTTGCCCCCCCAAGCACCAAGAATACAGTGCATCACTTGCCCCAGCCTGAA